GGGGGGGGGGGGGGGGCGCTGAGCCATAGACGAACAATAGAGTGGGAGCGAAAGACAGAGGTGTGGCAACAGAACAAGACAGCCAAGCGATACACGACCATAGCAAGGCAATGAAGCAACGGCACGGAGGGAGGGAGGGCAAGACGAAGATTGGTGCATTGGCCAAAATCAAGAAGAGTTGAAGGACCGAAGCACAGCCAGGAATATGGTGAGTATAAAAAAAACTTTTCGTTTCTCTCCAGCAATGGTCGTCAGCAACTCACCGTGGTCGTTGACGCCAAGGAGAACAATTTCACACCGCAAACACACATGAGAGAGAGCACGATCATCACCATACACCGGCCCAAGCTCGCGAGTACATACCACAACGTAGGCATGTTCTTCGTGAGAGCGCCGCGGAACTGTTCATGGACGAAAGACTCTGGTGCATATAAACTGTTGAGCTGTAATGGTGTAGGGCTCTAGCCTGGCGCACCAACGCCTACAGCCGTTAGCTGGACAGACGACGCAAGAGGTAGAATCCTTGGAAGTGCCGTTAGCAAAAACCGCAAGCACGAAAAACCAGACACCCCCTTCAAGCGAGGATGTCAATCAAAGTGGTGAGGCGTTGGAGCCGCACGCCCCACGATCCAACGACATCATATCGGTCAAGACATGGGAGGTTAAGAACAAAACACCCGAAGCACCAACGTGCATGCACAGCAGCAAACGAGGGAGACATGGGCACGGGCGCGTTCCCCGTCCCGCGTGTGCTGCTGCTGCTGCTAGCACAACACCGGGGCGTCGCTGTCCGCACGCGCGGCACACACACCACCACCGCCGCCCTCTCTGCTCTTCTCTTCGGAAAAACAAAAAAAATCGCATCGTCTCACGGCGCTAAGCGAGCCGAGCTATAAACCAATACTGTACCGAGATGATCACGGCGTACAGCGGTTACCTCCTTCATGAGGATGTTGTTGTTGGTGGCCGTGCACAGCTGAATGGTGATGCCATACACCTCCAGCAGCTGGTTCCCCTTGGAGGGGTCGTCCTGACCGTTGGCCAATCGGCACGAGTCGTGGAGGGTGTCGATGGTCGTCTGGACCTTGACGTAATCGGGGATTTGCAGGTACACCTGTTTGCGGTATTCGGGAGGGAAAAAAAAAGAAAAAAAAAGTAACGTTCAAAGCGACGCGCGTGCAGTGCAACGCTCGTTCCGGCCGGGGGCGTGCATTGTATAGTGTGTGTGAGTACATCACCTCTGCCGGTTGGCTTGATGGTTTTTCTGTATTCGAAAGGTATCGTGCTGAACGGAACAAATCTACAAGAAGAAGCGAACAGCAGCCTCGAGAAAGGCAGATGGTCGACGCCATCACCCCGCGACCAGGTAGAGACATCGACGGTCGTCTGCACCACTGAAGCGGCATTTTCTTCCAACACACGGTACCTACCTTGGCAAGCTTGACGTAGGTGTTGAACCACATTCGCTCGTTCCCCTCCTCCTTCAAGGCCGAAAGGGTCGTCTCATACATCTGGGACACCTGTCGTATCACGTCACCACCACCACCAAACACGGTTGGAGGAAAGCGGAGGGACATGGGGACGCGTATCGGGCACAGCAGTGTGTCGCTTTTTTCGTCGCGTGTCGAGAGTCACGTTCGCCTCCTTGAAGTCGTACTCGAAGCTATCCCCACACATGACAACAACTGCATGATTTACCCATGATCAAGCGATCGGTCGGCGCTCTCACTCTTCTGACGATAAAACCTAGAGTGCATCGTTGTTTTACATCCTTACCACCCTCCCCAGCAGCGAATACTCTCCACCCCCTCCCACCCTCTCTATGAAATCATACACTTCGTGCCCGGTGTTTGCCATCGGGATTGGGTTTTCGTCGCTTGGCAACGACGTTGTAGAACAAGCCAATTCACTTCGTGAACTCGGCAACCAGGTTACCTTTTTTACCTCTGTACTTTTTTGCGGTAACCGTAATGGTGGTCGAGTAGATCATGTTGTGCGGGGTCGAGAAACCTCACTCCGCGCAAGGGGGATGATGGCACCACGTTGTGTTAAAATGGTCAAGCATCCTCGAGGCAGTTACACAGTGCTTACAACTGTCTCCGGAAGTGAAAGCACCAGAAAATAAATTAAGTCATACGCAGCTGTCATCCGTACGCAAGGAAGTAAGCACAAGATGCCAAACTTAGCAGGATGCAGCGCACCCTTCATGCGACTCGCCGAATACCTCACGGCGCTTCGCGCTTGGTGATGTGAGAGCCTGGTCCGGTGAGAACCCGGCGTGCTCCGTCGCGGCTTTGTAGGGATGTGAGGTCGATGGTTTAACTACTACGGCATGCACGACTATGAGCACCCCCCCCAGCAGCCAATACTCCCCACCCTCTCTATGAAAATCATATACTTCGTGCACCCGCTCCTAAAAAATCGACGCCTCCTGTCCAACAATTCTTGAATGTCCCGACACCACCCAAACGTAACGCCCAGCTCTGTCGTTGAATCGTCGCCCCCCCCCCCCCCCCCCCCCCAAGGGTGTTGGGGGGGGGGGGGGTGCCCCCACCTTTTTCAAGGCTTCCAAAAAAAACCCTTTACCCAAAAATGGCCTCCCGAGGGCGGAACATTTTTTTTTTTTAAAAAAAAACCGGTGGGGAAACATCCCTTTTTATTTTGGGGGGGGGGGAAAAAAAAGAGGAAAAAAATCCCCCCCTTTTTATTTTTTAAA